ATATGATAAGCACTTTTTAGCTGATGTGTGTAACGTCGTGTTGAAAAAGAGTAAGGTTTAGTTCAAACCAACACATAATACCACAGAATAAAACCATCGACCACTACTATTGCGAAGATGTAGGTTGCCTCACTGAGTGGTCGCCTTCCAAATTATTAACGCCTATGCTAATCCTTTTTAATCAAATTTTAGATTTTCCCATCCATTGATTGGACCGAAGTTCTCGGTCTCAGGTTGACATGTCGTCGCCTTGTGCAGGGGCATCAATGATGTCTGGTCATGTAACCTGAAGTCAACTGGTGGACTGTAATTGGCAGTGGAGCCTAGGATGCTCATTTCGTCCTATTTGGGACTCGTCAGTCGGATGTATCCACATTCCCCAGTAAAGAAGTGGTGATGTCCCCTCTGGGACTCGAACCCAGTGCCCATGGTTACAAACACCAAAGCGTTATCCACTAGACCACTTGGGCCACGAGAGCCACCTCGTGTACAGCGCGTCCTATTAATTATTTAATTCAATTTTAAATTTTCCCGTCGACTGATTGAACCGAAGTGCTAGGTCGTGGTCCAAGTGGTCTAGTGGATAACACTTTGGCGTTTGGAACTATGGACACTGGGTTTGGGCCTCAGTGGGAACACCATTACTGATTCACCGGGGGGAATGCAGGTACATACAGATGACGAGTCCCAAACAGGACGAAATGCGCATTCTGGATTCCACAGCTAGTCACCATCCACCAATTTACTAATCTTTGATTAATTACCTTTCCACTGTCACTCTCTATTGTCACTCACTTCTTTTTTTGTCTATCATTTCACTTAAAGTGATCAATCAATCATCGGTCATGCTAGTCAGTTACTGAACTCATTAAGAAGAGCCGATGATAGGTTGACCATGAGAAGACCTACATTTCCTCTAAGAGTGAAACTTGTATTATGTAATGCTAAATTTAGCTCCAAGTTTTTGCCTATAAGATCTGATAGATTTACTTAATCACTGAGTTATCGTGATCATGACTGACTTCAGAAATAAACCACATATATACAGGTGGAGGGGGATAGGAGTCTTGCGCCCACTGAATGAGTGAAACGCAAGTGTATAAGTCAATGGGAGCCACATCTTCAAGACGTTTCTCCTGAAGACGACAGTAAATTCAATGAAAAAGAATAAAGAATGACCAAACAGAGGTCACTAGTGTTATAAACACCAGTTAATAAATAAAACTCAGGGTAGTCTCGATTCAGATCAGAACAATTCACACACATACACACACACAGATACATTGAAAGGAATATAAAGACACAAGTAACACAGCAGTAGTAATAAGAGAGAATAGAAAATCTATATGGCCTTACGTTAATAACCTTAAGCTGTAACAATTATCTTACAGATCATTGAAACCAAGGATTACAAACTTCATGAATTCGGCATCACTTGTTCGTGTGATCATCAAGATGACGGACTTCAGAAGATACTGAAGAGTGAATATTAAGTAGTATCAATTAATCGCAGTCACCAGTCGTGTGTCAATCACTCGACAGTAGAACACTCATTAGCCACTTAGGAAGGGCGCGTATTCGATTCTCAACTGGTATACTCCAAAACCACCCTTACCAGCAAGCTGAGAGTCCAGAAAAGACAGAAGATTAGGTGTGAAGCTGGTGACCCCACACTCTGTAAAAACAACATCATCGCTACTGGAACTTCAAAGCTTGAAGCCTGAAGTCCTATGTGCCACTAGTAATGCAAAGGATTAATGAATACATAATTCCTTAAGTCAATGACGATTTGTTATTTGAGCGGGTCCACCTAGTGATGTGCTTTTAGCACAAGTAAGCCATATTACAGGCATCATTGCAATTACACATTTCAGTGAATCTATATCATATTTCACATCATTTCTAAACATAATTAACTGTCGTCAAGTTTACATGATGGTGGTTCAGTGGTAAACCGCTTGTCAACCACGCAGTTGGTCCAAGGTTCGGTCCTCGACCAATGCACTGGTGAACCTCGCTAAGCCGGTAGTAAATCCGGTAGAAGGAAGGTTGGGTGTGAGCCTAGCAACCCCATTTCGTAAAAATAAAACCACTGTATACTTTTACACATATTGCTTTTCTTTCAAAACGATTTCAATAGGCTGCGAAGAACTGTGTAGATTCTATTCACCGATATTTGATCAAAATGTGTCATATTAATTGGATATGTTTAGATCTAATTAAATATTATTATTCCCAGTGAAATCTATTACGTATGGAAATGCACACTTTGAGACCATAATTCGACGTGATTTGCCGATTAAAAGTCTATACAGATGAAGTGGTTCTCGAATCTATGACCCCTTCGATTGAAAAACCCACCACTTGTTTAAACTTTAGAAAACTCGCTAAACACACAGTTTTTCTATATCCTGGGAAAACGGTGTCATAGATTATTACTCAGATATATTCTTTTTAACATCAGCACGCCAACCACGGGAGTTGATTGGGTTCGATTTCTGGTTGAAGCACTCTTCAACCTCACTCCCGTAAAAAAGAACAACACCACTGCTACTCGAGCTTCAAAGCTCAAGTCTAAAGCGCCAATTTCCACTCGGAATGCAAGGGAATGAAAAGAAGGCCTTACTTGCTTTTCTTTTTGTTTATTTATTTATTTGGTTGGTTTAATCTGCTGATAAACACTAGAACTAGGAGTTAAGGTAGGCGGGTGTGCTCATCATTGTGCGGGTGGGGAGGAGCAGGGCCATGCTGAGCAAATACTGTACTGCTGAAGAGTCCCGAACTACGGCGAAACAGCTCTGCAATACTACCTTATTTCCAGTATTTCTCTGATTGATGACAGCTCGTCACCTAACTTAAAATCAATCAAATCCCTACAACAAATCAACGCTTGAAAATCGGATACATTCTCGTTTTAAAAACATCAAACATTCAGAAAGAAAGAAAGCTAACAGCCAGTAAAACTTCTGTGTACTAGACAAAGGCATAAATACCATATGGAACTGGTGAGATACTAAGTCTTTCCGTATTATTAATCATTACAGCTCTAGCCTATTGTAGAGTAGTGTAAAAAAACAGTCTATGACACACTAATTCGAAGTCGGCCCAGACCACCGCGTCGGTGACGTTGATTCACCTGCAAAGCAGGAAAGATCGTAAAACTTAAGGCTCAAATGACCTGAAAATTTTTACTTTCCTATAGTAAACCATTTTTTTTCTTAAAATGGCATAACTTCTGAGTGAGGCAATTAAAATTACAGTATTTAGACAGTGAAAGAACAGGTTATACTATTTCGCTTTTAAACAATCAGTTAACATTGGTATCTGATACTACTATTAGCACTAATACAGGAAAACAAAAAGTTCTTCTTCAGAAGAAGAAAGAGCCTAACTTCCTGTTTTCTCTCCGATGTCTAAAATGGGTATTTTCCCAAGATTTGAAAAGTGAGGTCCCTGAACAGTGAAGGAATCCAATAAGTTCCTACTGGTCCGGGGTTCGACCCCCGGCTAACGCATACACCTTTACCTCACTTAAGCCAGTAATAAGCCCGATAAAGAGGGAAGGTAAAGCATGCGGCTAGAAACCCGCTCTTCGTGAAAAACACCACTGCTACGGAATCTCCTAAGCTCTAGCCTGAAGTGATATGTTCCACTGGGTACAGAATTCCTGCTGTACTCTTTCAAATTTACCGGAGTGAATGCAGGATTAAACTTCCGAAATGGTTTTGGAAAACACTTCGTAGACATCATATACATACCAAATAGAAAACTATTGAAAACTATACTACGGGAAAACTTATTAATTCTATTCATTCACGAACAACCGAAGTATAGTGAAATATACCAGAGAGATATCTTCCCCCTCTTCGCGAGTTATCATCAAATGAGATAACTGTTCAGCGAATATATGTTACCATGGTGGTGAATAAACGAGCCAAGAATGTCCAGTCAAAGATGAACAAAAGCCTTTAAAACTAATATCGAAGAGTTCAGAGAAAGTTTCCGATTGATGCTAATAAATTTTTCTATACTTCTTTACTTTACAGACGTTACAACTAGAGGTCCTGTCTTTGCGCGCTTAACACATGTTGTAACGTGAATTTTAATTAAATCTTTACGAACTTCACACATATGACTTAAAACTCCTTATTTTCTCACTAACGTCAAAATGGGCAGTCTGCATGATTTTTCCTCTTATCCGATTAACAGTCTCTAACAGTGGGATCCAGGATACTATTTCCCCTCCAGTCTCCTCCGAACTCACCACCTGAATGTAATCAGTCCGGTAATCGAGAATCCAAAAAAACTTTCCCTGAGGTATATTAACAATCTCTCCAGTTAGCCTGTCTTTACAAGCATAAGCAACCCTATAAATGACCAGGTACGCCTGAGAGTGGGTAGACTTCGGTCTCCTTCTAGAAATGTCTTCATGAGGCCACGCTTTCATAGCGTCTATCAGGGGTATTCCCAACAAAAGTAATAGGACGAAAGCGAACATCTGGCGCTTTCAACCGGAGTACTGGTAGATATGCTGGTCTACCTAAAGGGAGCTCGAAAACCCTAATCCTAAATCCGTAAGGATTGAGTGATGTATGAACCTGTTTCGATCACCAAAAACCATGGGAACGCAGCTTCTGAAGCTGATGCACCGCCTTATAGATCAGACTTCAAGTCAAAGGTTGGCAGCAGAGTGGCACCTACGTGTGTCCGGGCAGTATCCCAAGCCCTTGCACAAACCTAGTGTCAGCGCATCCCCCTTGGTGCCCCCATAATGTACCAAGTTTGTGTTTTTTTTAAGAAGAATGTTTCCGAACATGGAGAAAATCTCCACAAGGTTTATCCTACTTTAAATTCATCGATCGATAGACCAGCTGTTAACCCAGAGAATTATACTCACAAAAGAGAAAGGGAAAAAACTGTCAGAAATATAAACATTATTATTAGTAGTATTAGTAATAGTAGTAGTAATTGTTAATACTATTTTCAAAAATAGAACTCACCAGAATTGTTATTTTCTGTTTTCATACTGTAACATAGACTGAGATCCAATGGAGATTCAAGGTAATCATTTGAATTATTCGATGGATCTGATTTCACTGAGTGTACCGATGGACAACGACTGTCTAGCGGTAATATACACGGTGAAGGTGATGAGATCGATAATTTGTTCATCAGATTTGAATTATTCTCATATTGACCATCGCTATTAATACTATTACTACCACTACTAGTAATACTATTACTATTATTATTATTGTTGTTGTTAGTGGTCGTCATTGTTGTCTGATGTTGTTGAAGTGGTGTAGAAATATGCGTAGGAAGTGAAGATGGATTTGTCGACGGTGGTATTAATGCAGCCTGTCGAAGTAGTAATGCAGCTGCTGCTGTTGTATTCAATGATGTCAGACTGTTAAATGATACAACTGTAGGCGTTGTATTATTCACACTGTTACTTAAGCAGCTATTTCCCCCCGGTGATAAAGGCGGCAAAGCGACCCCACCATTTGAAGCAACTGCGGCTACAGCTGCTGCAGCGGCGGCAGCAGCAGCCATCAACGGTGTAGACGACGTATGCTGATTCACTAAGACTGATGGTGATGCTGATGTTGATGATGATAATGACGATGAGGTAGTCGATGGGAGACAGCCAACGCCTAAACTTGAGAAGATACGTTTCAATGTTAATAAATCTGTACTATCTAGTGAATTTAATTGAGAGAAGAGAAAATTATTGGGAAGTGTATGTACACTCGGCAGATTTGATGCAACTGTAGACTCTGTTGTCAGATTGAATTGATTCCCATTCAAAGTACCCTGTGCTACTACTGACGGCAGTAATGATGAAGATGATAGAGGTGTTGGCATCATGACTGACGGTAAAACATTCGGTATTGTTGACGGTGGGATGAACAGATTTGTTGTCGTCGGTGTCGGTGTTGTCATCATTGAGGTAGACGCAGAAGAAGAAGAAGGAGCAGAAGAAGACAATGGCAGAGGTGTTGGTGTCGGTGTCGGCGTCGGTGTTACTGTCGGTATCGCTGAAGACACAGGCGACAATCTATCTCTTTTTACAATCAGCTCATTTTGTGAATCATCCATTGATAGGGAATTATTTCGTGATTTCGTGGTCGACAGCATACAACAATCAGTGTCAGACAATTTCATCATTTCACCATCACTATTATTGTCATTATCAGTATTGTCTGTATTATTAGTGTTATTATTATTATTATGCTGATCATTATAACCACCATTATTCGGTGAAGACGATGATAAATTATCCATAAATTTTCTATCTTCATCATCCAATGGTACACCAAAGCGTAATTTCAATTCTAATAAATCTTGACGTAATTTATGATTTTGTACATTTAACTGATTTATACGACATTCCATGAGAATATCATTTTGTCGACGTTTTTCACGTGAACGTTTTGCCGCCTCGTTATTTTTACGTCGTCTTTCCCAGTATTTATCGTCTTTTTTAGAATCTGGTATAAATTCACGTTGTTTACGATCACGTTCAGCAGAACTTAACAGGCTATTGTTGTTATTATTATTATTATTATTACTAGAGTCAAAATTCAATGATGGTGTCGCTGATATCGTTGTCATGGTAGGTATTATTGATTTTTTATTGTTATTGTTATTATTATTATTGTCAAATGTTGTATTCGAGTTGATTAGCTGACTAGCCGAGGATTGTACTGGTGGTGTAAATGGAGATTGTACAGAACCCGTGTCAGACGAGACATCAGAGCATGTCTGTTGAGAGGGTAAAATAAATGGAAAATTATTAATTAAATTATTATTATTATTATTAATATTATTAATATTATCATTATTATGATTAAATGTATCATATGCTGAATTATTCATGGAATGATCACTGTTCAAATGTGCAATATTAGATATATTATTATTATTATTACTATTAGCAATAGACGTAATAACTGAATTCAAAGTCTCCATATGACTCTTACAATACGATATACCATTAGAATTATTCTCATAATTTGATGAAAGCCATAAAGGTAAACTAGACGACTCTGATAGGTGTTCATGTTGATGGTGATGATGCTGGGGATTATTATTATTACTATTATTCGTTAGAAAATTTGTTAAATCCAATGATGAATTAGACACCTCTGTCGCTGTTGTTGCTGTTGTTATTGTCCCCGTCGATGTCGGTAGTATTGACGACAAAAAGGGTGGTAAGCCTAAGATACCGGCTAATGCTGAGGCCAGAGCAAGTCCACCATTTTGACTAGACATGAGATCTGTAGACTGATTATTCAAATTAGAATGAAATGTTGAAGAATATGGCGATAATTTTTTACAGGAGGAGGAGGAGGAGTGTTCTTCAATGATAAATGAAGACGGTGTTGGTGTCTCTGCTGCTGTTGCTATCGTTGATGGCGTTGTTGTTGTTGCTGTTGTCGACGTCAGTGATGTATTGACTACTTGTTTACCAATGTGTAATGCAGTAGTCATACAATGGTAATAATAATAATAATAATTACGATTATACCACTTATTATAATAGCACTGTACAACTACTACTCATCTATTATAATATTGTCGAATAGAAATTCAAGTCTAAATTCTCATGGAGTACACACATCACATACATTAGGTAAATGACCGGAATATTATGAAAAAAATTTACAATTATCAATAATAATAGTAAAGGAAGGTATATTATTATGGGGTTAGATGATCCTTTTTTCTTCACTTACGAGACTAGACAGTTTAATAATAAAATACTAATAATATGTGCCCATATGTGAAAAAAATGTCTATGGTTGGTTAGGGGTTCACAGTGTGTATGTACTTAAATGTGTTATTCGTGTTTGCTGTTATCCTGATGTGTGTGTTATGCGAGAGAATTATTATCGTCATCACCACATCTAGCCCTCTTCACCACCACTACCACCCTGTTTAACATGATTATTACTATTACTACTAGTGGTAGTATTATTATTAAGTTGTTGTGACATCTCTCTCATTGCATGACGCGTCTTTCTCTCTCTCTCGCTCGCTCGCTAGCTCGTCCAGTCATCCTCCACTCACACAACCACTCACTTTTTTACTTCGCGTTCTTTCACTCCGCTTTTCTATCTCTTTCCATATACATTGTATTAGTCAGAATACAATTTTTGGGGCAGCATCTCTATCTACCACCTATAATATGTTGTTATATATGTTATATATTTTGGGTGGGTACACACATCTATGTGATCTCTATACCTAAGTTAACTAAAATAACTAGCTCTCTCTATACGTATAATATTGGAAAAAAGACAGAGGCAGGGAGAGTGCAATTATCCATATGCATTATTAGTTACTATTACTGCTCCTCCTATTGGTTGAAATAGGGTTGGTTATGTGACTGACTTGTTATTTTTGTATGACTAACCTTTGTTATTTTATATACATAAGAGTAACAGAACATAAGAGTGAGTGAGTGAGTGAATGACTAACTGACTAACTGAGTTTGAGAGACACAAAATGTTGGGGTGCAGTAATACTAATCATAACGAGTCATCACCAACATCAGCAGCATTAGCCATTGCATTGTCAAGTGTGAAGGCCTTTGGATATGTGTACAAACACACCAGCACACACACACGGGAATACAGACACCACCATCTCCTCCTCCTCCACTTGGACACTGCTGTTGTATTGCCTCCATGCTTATATGCATGTTTAAACAACAACAGAAATGGTTTCTGCTTTGTTTTCTTTATATAAAAAAAACACAACACTAACACTCTATTCTCATTAAATAAGTCAATAAGTAAAAGGTTAGGGGGTTAGTAGTTATAACTCAATGTAGATGCATTCATTAATTCATTCATCAGGGTGTCCAAAAAAATCTCACATGAGTAAATCTACACTACACTACACTACCTACTACTACTACTATTACTATAATACAAGTGTACACTATATAGACTTGAAACTATCCAATTAATATAAGTTTTATTTTATTATTAACTGTATTTGCTAATGTGTGTGTAAAATAATAGAGAGAATTGGATGAGAAACACACACAAAGCAATGACATTTGATGATGGGTGGATGGATAAGACAGGAAGGAAGACAGAGCAAGAGAGAGAGTGAGTGAGTGAGGTGGTCAATTTGAGTACAACAGCCGAGAAGACAAATACACGGACGGACTCACAACAACACAAACCAATCTAATAAAATCAAGAGCAAACAACGGAGAGAAAAAAATACAACAACCTCTAAATACAACGAATAAAATTCCTCCAACTGAATATAAAAAAATGCCTGTAGTAATACAATCTTAGTAATAGTAATTATTATTATTATTATTATTATAATCATCTGAATAACAGAAGGAGGAATGACTGAGTTTGAAGCATTAAGGAGATTGTGAGACAGAGTATAGAGTACTCGATAGATAGGTTGTCAGTGTCACACAATTAATCTGTGTATGTATATGCACACTAACTCCAGAGCAAGTCAGTCACGTTGTGACAAGTGAGAGGAGAGATTGTAGAAATAGCTTAATGATGTGAGTAATTCATTAACCAAAATAAAAATATATTTGTGATGACATTGATGATAAGGTAATGTGAGAAATACCAAGGTATGATGTTGTATATGTGTGTATAGACAATCTGCTGGTCAAATAATCTCGACTAGCTCTAATTACCTTTATTGTTTTCCTTGTAACAGAGTATCAGCGTTAGTAGAAGTAGGGGGGGGGTATGACAGGTATAATTAAATTACATTTTTATTGATCATCGGAGTGCGGAGGAGGAGAACAATACGAGGTGAGGTTAGATTTACTTCACCCATACATATACATATATGATGGATTGAGTATAGGGCTTAGTTCACATGATGTTCTGTGTTACACCTCTATTTTATCGAATAAAATGTTGATTTGGTATGGATGTTGTGACTCATTCCATAAGACATTGGATTTTATTAACTCACAAGGTTAAATTTGACGAAATGCTCGCTCAAATAATCTGAAGGTTGTGCGTTAGTTCCCCCTCTCGCCCTAATGATGATGTGTCGTGGGCCAAAGAAGCACTACTAACTAGGACGAAACAGTCGTCCAATCAGCCCTGTCAGTCGACGACATCAGTCAGATACATGAATGTTAAGTGCTTTTATGACGATGAAACATGGTTGATGAGGGCGAACAAAAAAGTCTGACTGATTAAAACAAAAGTTTACCACGAGCTTCTAAGCAATACGATTAAATCGGTTGGTGAGACGAAATCACTGAGGAAGGCATGAAAAATGAGAAGTCACAGCACAGATTTCTACATATATACACCCGCGTTTATTTAATAGTAGTATGCTGAGGATAGTCACTGAGTAAAACTCAATATGAATCGAAGAAGTCACTAGCTGTGCATCACACATGTATGGACGACCAGATCTAATAAATAAGATCTATAGAATGTTATTAGAGGAACTAGATGACTGATGTTCTCGAATAAAGAAAATTCAATATCTAAAGTCTTACTATAGGCGCTCATTTTACAATATTGCAGATTTCAAACCAATCAGAGAAAACTAAGTGTCAAGAGTTAGGTTAGAGAAACACTGAAAACCAGAGAGTACTGGACAGCTGTTTCGTCCTAGTTTAGGACTCACCGGTAGTACGCATCCATCACCAGGGTTCGAACCCATGGGGAACTGATTTGAGTCCCAGTGGCTGAAATGGTCTACGCGCCTGACTTGTAATCAGAAGGTCCTGGGTTTGAACGTTGACGGTGGATGCGTACTGATGATGAGTTCTAAACTAGGACGAGACAATTGTCCTAAACTAGCTGTTCCCCCCCCTCAATTGTCATGAGTGCTGGGATTACAAAATATTAATGAATAAGAATCTGGGATATACAAGCAAAAAAAGTACTACGGATAATCTTTTGTTTGATGAGAGCTGACACTGTGGGGTCCAGGACACATGTTTAGTTCCCTTCAGGAATGTAGCTGTATCGAGATGAAAATATGCAGTGTGCAGAGATCAATAACATCATACTCCTTTAAGGTTGTGACAAATGGCCTTTGAAAGTCAAAGATATGAAAAGGTTGGCTATCTTTGACTACAGACGTTTGCGTCCTCTCTCTCCTTTTGAGTGCTATAATATGGTGAGTAGTATTGAGATTAGGCGCATAGTGTTAAACAAAGAGAGGCAAGTAAATCAATGAGGTTGTGTAGCTACATCGATTGAGATGGCTAGCATGTGTTATGTATAATAAGGCATCACATTCCTTATTGATCAAAAAAAATCCCTACAAAATCAATACTTGAAAATTCATTAATCTGATGCTCACTAGAGACTGGCCATATTCAGGCAGTTAACCTGGAGTTCATGGACCATTGGATAGAGTCTCAGTGGCTTAACGGTCTAAGAGATCGCTAGTCTTGTAACCAGAAGGTCATGGGCTCGAACCCTGGTGGTTGGTGTGTACTGATGAAGAGTCCCAAACTAGGCTGACAAAACAGCTGTCCAGTACTCCTTGCAGGTTTTCCAATGGTCCTCTAACTGATATCAGCTCATGATAAAATCCTCCAACCGATCAGTGTTAGTTGACTGTTTGAGCCAGCCACATACAGAAGTGTAGACTGCCTAGTTAGGGTTGTCAAGATACTAAGAATCAACGTTATTAGATGAGTGAATGCAATCGGAAGGAAGTTTTGAACCTAGATTTCGTGCTTGTTGGTACTCACCAGTCAAGCAAAGCGTATCTGCAGCCTTGAAGGAACTCAT